TTCTGTTTAAATTCCCAGAGACAATGTGGAGTTGACAATGTCACAATTGAGAAATGTAAAGTATCTCACAGTTACCTTTGAAGATTGGAGATGTGTTGTTTTACTGTATGGCACAAGTTCGGATTAACTGTTACAAACAGTTGTCGCAGAATAGCGCTTCTACCCTCAAGCTTAATTGATGGGTCATCACACAAGGAAGCATCGCCATGTACCTCATCAGAACCACCCAAAGCCATGTGATATAGTTGTTCTTTCTGAAATAGTTTCGTGACTAACACCAAGGTCTTTCCAGTGCCAGACCTTCCTAACACAAAAGAGCTTCTTGGGTAATGAATTATTTCCCACTCGTTGTCTGTCACTTCCATGGGAAGCTCTAATGCCCTACCATCAGAAACAGAAATCAAGTGTTTCACTACACCGACAGATAAAGAGTAAAATTTTACTAGCAACAAGCTCTCCTCGACTTCTGCCTTGTCAATACATCTTGGTGCTACATCATCGTCATCTGATATACTTGTTCTCTCAGCATCACTGCAACTCTTGTACCGAACAATATTAGAGTTGCTGCTCCAGCATACGGGAACTTCCAGCGTACTGAGCATAACAAATCAATTAGATAAATGAGATATTGCCAAAAAGGATTAATCATTTCAACAAGATAGTTTTCCTAATTTCGCAATCTTATAGATGCATGTTGATGAAAATGTAACAAAAGAAAGCATACCCTTCAATACATTTTTTCTTGCAGCATCTGACAAACTCTTCAGTGAATAAACCATAGTGTTTGTCAATTCTCTTAACCAATTCGGCCACTGCTTCCAATGGCAAAATATCCCAAACCCTCATAACTTGGAAATATTCTGATTCTTTAACAATGTCATTTGAGCATATGACATAGAGGCCTTGAACTTTGAATTGCTTGACAATTCGAACAGAGCTCTCACAAGGAGGATCGACTTTGATTTTCCTTGGTCGCCATCCATTTGAAAGTTTGCCTATAAGATTAAACACATGCATCTTTGTTTGGCTTGATTGCAGCTTTGAAAATGATTTGATGAAATTACTAGCAAAGAGAACCTAGGAAAAATAACATGAGCAATGTTCAGCAACAAGAATAGGTAAGCCCAAACTGAAGTGTTTAAGGTTCAACTAAATTGAACATCATTAATTTGATAAGAGGAGTTACCCACCTTCCACCTTGCATTACGAAAAAGCACACTATTTCCGCTGAGCAAATCATCCAGCTGATCTAGTTCCTTCTTAACATAAATGATTGTTTCTGATATTTTTTCATCTTCATTAGCATTGAAAAAACATTTCCGCTCTTTAGCATCGGTGATAAAATCCCTCCAAATAAGGTTGGCTTTGGCTAAAGTCTTCCCATTTCCAAGCACCCATAGGCAATGTCTGGAATCAAGAATGTAAATTGGAAAATAACTAGTGTAGGAAAAACAGCAGTGAAGCCTAAAAATTATTTGGAAGTACTTCCAAGACATACCTTGCCCTTGTTAATGCAACATTAAGTCGTTGAGGATTAGATAAGAAACCAATTTCGCCAAAGTTGTTAGATCTGACCAAAGATAGCAGTATTATGTCTTCCTCTGCACCTTGGAACGCATCAATTGATTTGATGTTCACTGTAAAATTTTCCAGATTCGAAAATCTCTGACCAATCATTCTTTCAATTGCCTTAACCTGTGCAGAATAAGGCGATATTACACCAATGCTAACTTTTTTATTGCAGGGTGATTTGCACCATCCTGCAAACAAGAAAATGAACCAAGACTAAGAATGCAGCAATAAAGAATTTTGTAAAGGCCAATTAGTGTATTAGATAAATAGAGGCCCTAAAACACAGATTTTTGTATAGAATGCAAGTGTACAATGCATCCCAAAAGTAAAAATACCAATTCAAACAATGCAGCTCTCGATAAAGAATGTTGAACCTAGTGAAAAAATGTCCAAAGCTAAAATATAGATCCATTTTCCAGGTCACTAAAGCCTGGGGTAGCACACATTCCATCAAGGAGAAATGGTGCGCCAAAATAATAAATTAGTTACTTGCTGAACATCAATACTACACCGTAACCAAAAAAAAAAAAAAAAAAAATACTCGCACTACTAAAACAAGCATTATTTTTCATGAAGAAAACGGCAATATTTCACAGTTCGTTCCTGCTCCGATGCTGGAACTGGAAGGTATTTTTCCAATTGATAAGGAATATAAAGACAATTACAACAGAATTTAAAAAATTCTAGTCACGGATCAAATCTGCATTTTGCAGCACATCCAGAAGCTAATTTTTGTAATGTGTTACGAAACTGAGAAAATAAGTAGGTTGATCTTTCAAGATAAAAATTCTGTAAGCAACCTGAAAAGGGAACTATCCGCGTGGCATACCTTTGTAAAGACGAAGTACTATAGCCCGGACAACTGCTGCCTCAACCATATTTTTTCTGCTTTGTCCATTATCATCAAATTCTTCTTTTCCCTCTGTAATATTTATAAATGAATAAGGACCAAAGAATAATCCTTCAAGGTAACGTTTCTCATAGCCGTCACTCTTCACACTAGGTGCATCAGTAATTTTGTTGCTGTAAAACATCCTCCTTGGAAATGCACTTATTGAAGGGTGCATTCTGTACTGCATGTTTAGTAGGTGTTTTGACCAGCCTAACAAACCTAATCTCTGAAATAAACTTCGGCCAAAATCAACACTCGCTGAAATCTGCATCAAAAAAAGGAAAGGTTTCTGGATCATATAAACAATCATAAGATTAAGTAAAATTTTAAGAGTAAAATAGAAATCAATTTTAGACCGATATTCTTACATGACTTTTCACCATGGCCTGTAGCTGGTACTCATCTCCTGCAAGAATAGCATGCCTTAGATCGGGAAGTTGGAGTGGTATAATGGACTCACACTCCTTCAACTGCGCAGCTTCATCAATAACCACAACATCGAGTGATTTTATAGGCGCATAATACAATTTATAGGAACTTGAAGCCGTACAGAATAACAAGGATGACATTTGGAAACAGAAATCCGAGATGAAATCATAATTTGTCACTTGGGGAAACTTAAGTTTGCCCAAAGAAACAATTAGATTTTGTAAAAGATCAAAGCATTCATCTCCCTTCTTTTCGAGAAGACCTAGTATATACACAATAGACTTCTGAAAGACTCCACTACAAGGAGCCAACCCACTGAGTTGACCAATATATTGCAACAGCAAACTTTCAAAAGAATCAAGCAAATCATAAAGCTTAGTCAAGTTCTCAATATTGTGTTCCTGAATGAAACTTTTTGCCATATGGGTACAAAAGATTGAGATGCATCTCTTGACAGGACCAATTAGTTCATTGAACTGATCTCTAATAGAATTAAGAAAGGATAGAAGTTGCTCTGAATTGCCAAGGCACCTATTCTGACCATGTTGTCCAGTGAGAAAATGATCCTGTGAAGAAAAATCCTGGAATTCATTCAACAACAACGAGAAAGAACAGCGCCAGCCACTAATGGGGCTAAAAACCTCTGCTAGCTTCTTAACACGGTAGTCCAAATAAATATCTTCAATATCTGAACCTACATCTACCTGCTTCTTGCTCCCAAACAAAAGTAAGCTGCCCAATGAGCAAAACCTATTGTCTGAATTCCTTGCAGAACACGCTCTCAACAGCTCTACAACCTGACTAGCTAATGCAGTAATTGCCACATTTGTTGTGGCACAAGCCAGGCCTCTACAGTTAAGCCTTAGCAGAATGCATAGCAATGTGCTGATCATCTTAGATTTACCAGTCCCAGGAGGACCCCATACAAGTTCAACAGAAAACTTGTCCTTACACTGTATATTTTTCAAAGAAGCCGAAATTGCATCCTTCTGAGATGGGTTTAGACGTGGTAAACCCGAACCAAGTTTGTTGAGCCAGAAATGATCAGTTTCTGAACAGCCATTGCCATCAGTTCCTTTGTCCTGCAAAATTGAATAATATATTATAACTAAGCCTTAAATGGGTTGTTGCTATCAATTATTTATGCATTATAAAATGAAAATAGTCATATATAAGCATCCTAGTCCTAAATCAGCAACATAGATTTGTTCTAGTTGCCTCTCAGCTTCAAAATGTTATGATCATCATAGAATAATTACAGTCCAATCATTCTCCAAGTCGACTAATGTGCATAAACCTTTCTTTCTAGGATGATCCTAGTGATACAAATGACAAATAATATAACTATCATGAACATGTTGGCAAATGCGGAATAGAAGTTCATCAGCATTACAAGAACGAAAATACGAAAACTTCAACAATAAGACTGGAAGCATACCAAGGAATCACAGTGCAAGACCTTCTCGAGTAACTTCAAGTTCTCCTTCATGTGCAAAGCATTCCATATGCGTTCAAATGGAATCACATTAGTCAAAAATACAATAAGTAAATATTTATTTACAAAATCATTCATGTCAATCTCTTTAGACACAATCACTCTGATACAAGTAGCAGAAGTGTCCTCATCTGCATCATCCTGAGACATATTAACTACAGATGCTAGAACACATTTTCGCCCCGACTGTAGAACAGGTTCCTCAGCATCAAATTCAGAATCCATCAATACAAACACATCTCCTGGCAAAACATTATAAGTTTTGCTATCTCCACCAGCAGAATTAACCCTCCAATGATGAACCTTAACATTGTACAAAAAGTGTAATTTAGTATCTTTGGTAGCTTTACAACACGAAACTACTCTACCAAAAGGCGCTCTAGATAACATAGACAAATTTGAGCACAATTCGGCTCGTGCCTCCTCTAACAAAGGATACACAAATGCATCGAAATACTCGGTTGTCGATCGAAACAGACAAGGGATCTTCCTGACCTGTAGTTCACAAAATGCAGAGTCAACAACAGCAATAAAATCTTCTTACAGTATTTACTTGTTGGAATTAACTACAAATTAGTGAATCAACAACAAAATCAAATCTTTTGCCCTATCTATAATCTATCTAGGACTACAACTAAAGCATGCATGCAATTCATCATACAATTCAATTACACAATTTACAAACATAAAGTACCAACCATATAATATATTTTAAATAAGAGGAAATGAGGAACTAACCTTGTCATTGAAAAAGTTATCATCAAGTATATCATTAACTGACCATGAGATTAGATGATCAATAAAGGTAAAACCAGCATCATCTACATATTTTATCTTCTTCATTTTCTTTTCAAACTCTATATAATCAAAGAAAACATGCATGCAAAAATTTAAAAATTTAAAATAAAATAAAAAGACTAGATATTAAGAATGGATTGAACAAAGAAACACAAATAAACCCAGTTGTAACATTTCAATGTTTATAAGATTCTGGGTATTTTTTTTTTTTATTTATTGTGTTTTGAGTGGGATTTTTCTGGAAATTTGTGGGAATTTTGAGTGTAGAGTCGGGCAATTGAGATGAGACGATACAGATTACGAGTAGGAGTAATAACTAGTGCAGCTACAGTAGCTGTACAGTCGCAGAACAAGGTAGTGTAATCGTTTCCCGCCATTTTGTTCTACGTCACTACACTAAAGAGTAAAGACCATTAATTTTGTTGTTGTAACTTGTAATTGATCGATATAGAATGTGAAGAGTTGCTAAATGTAGAGCGCTTCTGAGTTCTAGGACCTAGAGTTGGGCACAAGCAAATATATAATAATGACAATTTTATAAATAATGACTTTTTAAGAGTACTAATGAGAGGCAATATTATACTACTGAACATTCTCAGTTGTCCTATATATGATTTCAGTAGTACAAAAGACACACTCTAAGTAGTACTGAAAAAAACATCTCAGTAGTACTAATAGGACTTTCAGTAGTACAAAAGACTGTTATGCAATTTTGTTTGTGTCTAACGATGATATATTAGGACTTTCTCCTAAATGTATGACATAAATTTCTTTTGAATAATGTTGTGTTTTTCCCGTTTATACTTTACTTTATAAGGTAGGAGACACACGTACATCGCGTGTATAGTACTTGTATAAGAAATCTATATGGCTCATTTTATTTTTTCCTGAAATATTATCTATCTTACTCTAATAAAAATATTAATCGGTTTAAAAATTATGAAGTCGTGAAGACTGAGACTCCCTTCCAAAAAAAATGGTAATTTTTTTTTTTTTAATGAATTGGTAGCTTTTAATTTTTTTGATAAAGGATTTTTTTTTAAAAAAAAGGATGGTAATTTATGTTTGGACAATGTTGGGCTAGACTGCTAGAGTGTGTTTTTAAGTGGCTTGATGGGTTGCAAAGTAATAGCCTAGATTTGTATTTGGGTGAATACTTAGCCTAGAAAGGCTTCATGTGGACATGATAGGGCGTCCAAGTCCAACCTTAAATCCAATGGCCTACTCCGTATTAATGAAGAACCTACAAGCTACCATAATTAATTAATCCATCAAACATGGGAAAAGCTTTCATAGATAGAGCCATACAGGAATGAACTCACAAAGTCAAACATGTAGCTCAGCCTAGGAAGATCGATTCATTTCTACCAAATTTATGTTCGAATTGAGTCAGTTTTATCAATTTTAAACCAAGCTAAACTCAAATAGATAACATTCGTTGAAAGGCTAACCACGCGTTTAACTCTTAATTCTCTTGCTAATAATTTTTTCTCAATCCAACCCCCATTTTTATCCATTAACTACTACTTCATGGTCAACCGACAAACTTTATCAAGAAATGTCATGTTGAATAATGAATGATATGACCAGCTCTCCAAAGTTGACTAAACTTTGCACTAAAATAGTAACAAGATAAACACAAAGATTAATATATTATTATGTCAACAAAACCACCCCTTAAATTATATATATATATCCCTCTAATATCATTCTTCAAAGCATCAAAAACACAAACTCTACACACAAAAAAATAAAATAAAAATGACAACAATGTTAAATAACAATATTAGCATATGGTTTTCATTTGTTGTGTTACTGATTATATATAGTGTACAAGTTGAAGGTCAAAACTGCCGAACAACGGGCTATTTTAGAGCCACAAGCCCTCCACCAGGAAAATGCAGCACCAACTGTTGTATCCAAAACACAGTTTACTTCACCTTTCAATGCTCCCCTTCAGTAACCTCCCAAACACCGGGAATGCTCACACTTAGAGCCTTTCAGAACAGCCAGTCCAAGTGTGACAACGCCTACCATACCGACAACTCACTGGTGGTTGCACTCTCGACAGGGTGGTATAATAGTGGGGCACGGTGTGGGAAGATGATCGCAATAAGTGGGAATGGGAAGACTGTGAAGGCTAAGGTGGTTGATGAGTGTGATTCTACAAAGGGGTGTGATGCAGGGGAGGGTTATCACCCACCTTGTGGGTATAACATTGTTGCTGCTTCTAAGGCTGTTTGGAAGGCTCTGGGGGTCCCACAGAGTCAGTGGGGCCAACTCAATATTACTTGGGCTGATGCTTAAGATGAAGAATATGTTATAAGATCTTTTATAATAGCAAGTATTATGAGCTAATGTAGTAAAATCTTGGTAAAATAAAGCTCAATTTCATCACAGCAAACAAATTATCATGTACTCAGTTCCACAAGAATAAAATCTCCCTGGAGATGCAAATGATGTCACGTCCAGATTAAGTTGATACACTACGTATGCATCTAGTTCAAATTACACTATCAAAATGACAACTAACTTCGTACCTTTAGGGCTCTGTTATTGCCCTTTGACCATTGGGCTACAATTTTGAAATTGCACAGGTTTATGTGCGTAGAATCTACTCAAACAGCTGCATATTGTTTATGATAAAACAAAGGGCTGCATTCTGTTTATCAAATTGTATATTTGTAATAAATGAAAATAGGCAAGGATAAAACACAAATTTACAAAATATAGTACACATGAATGAATACATTATGTATTACTCGGTTTTTGAGGGACAGAATGTTTACATTACCCAAAATCCACAAGGAAATTGGAATAAATAAGCAGCAAAAAAGGAGGGCCTCATCTCAACATACAGAAAACTGAATAATTCAGAGGGCCTATAGATAAAGATAACACTATTTACAGCAAGCAATCTGTCTTTGCTGGTAATCTCCTAAAGAAATTTGTTGGTGAAGAAGGATACTTACTGCGAAACCTCGGATGCCTCATGGTATAAAAACCAGCAAGAAGAGCCATAACATTGAAAGGAATAGCATACAGAACAAATGCAGCAAACAGGCAGAATGTCAGAAATAAAACTGAGGCTCGTGGATCTCGCCAACTTAGCAATGCTTGAGCCCTTTCTCCCTGAGCAGCAAAATCACCCAACACAGATTGCACTTTGGCACCTATGCTCCTGAGTCGATCATACCTTCTTCGCACCACGTCTGTGCCTTTTGTTGTAGGAAAGGTGTCAAACTCTTCATCAAGTTCATCAGGGATTGTGTTGTCAGCATAGGAGATCCTTGTGTCCATGTGAGGAGGGTTTTTTGGCCTATACCGATAATTCCATAGCCCGATCAAAAACATGTACAAGAACACTGTAGGAAGAATGAGGTCAGGGAAACAAACCAACATCACAAAGAGCAAATGAACGAGGACAGTTGTAACCGGGTTTTTCCAAGCACACACATCTGTGAACCATTTCCCGATTGCAATCAAACTTTGAAGTAGGGAGATTATGCGATAGAAGTTAGCCTTGCTTCGCCTCATGCTCCAAAAATGTGCATCAACATCACACATATACTCCACCACTTCCTTCTTCAAAGGGGGTTCGGCTCTGCTAAGCCTAGAAGCTAAGACATTTGTAGCATGAACCCTCAAAGTATTAGTCTGCATCAAAGACAATGGTCTAGAGTAATGCATCTTAGGGAGAAGCGGCTTTCCATACAAAAACATCATGTTGGTCATGTTTGTGCAAGAGAATCGAATAGCCAAATGCAACTCTCCCATCTTCTTCAAACCCGAAGGTTGGAGGACTAGCAGGGGATATGAGTGAGTATATACACGGCCTGCTTCAAGGGTGGAGATTCGAATCCTCACTTTTCCGATTTTAGTGTCTTTGTTGCCATCAATATGTCCGTTGTCAAAAACACCAATGGTAAGAACAGTTGCAGGATCATATACTTCCCATGTGTACTGCTCATTGTACTTGGGGCTAAGACTGTCGATTATTGTTCGTGTACGAACCCATTTCTGACAGTACTTAGCCACACAAAAGGTATCCGCAGTTCCCCTTCCATCTCTTGTTTTCATAGGGTGGAGTCCATCAGCATTCAGTATTCCAAGTTCAAGAACACCAATTGAAGATTTCCACAGTTGCTTCATACTTGGTCTGAGATCACTACTATAGTAAGTAGATTCATTAAGGACATGGTAACCGCCATCAAGGCTTATACGAGCATGTAACTTACTAGCAAACTTAACTTTCTTCTCCTCTTCAGTGTCAGAAGAGCTCGGTTTCTGAAGGTTGATCCATTGAGTGGGAAAATTCTTATCATCAGGGCGCTTGCGAACAGCTGCTAATGGAATACTGACCTTGCCAAGCGTCTCTTCTTTGCCCTGACCTTTTCTATCTTCAACAGTGATGATCAAATGCTCATCGAAAGGCTCAGCAGCAACAAACATCAGATCCTCATTCCAAAAGGGGTTTCCCATCCTGCTTTGAACAGGCTTTGTGCTTAATGTTTGGGCTCCAAGCTGCGCCTTTATATAACAATCAGGAAACCGGCCTTTGTCTGAGGTAATCAAGTCTTGAGCCTCGATTACATTGACTCGAAGGTACCACAACCTGGGTGAATGGTAGACTTTTGAACGGATATGGTTAGCAGCTGAAGCTGACATATCAGGAGGAGTAATGGCATCAGAATGCCAAGCATCAGTAAATGCCTCATCTGCTTGAGTACCATACCAGACCGCGAGCATCAGTTCCCCATTATTATTACTCCTATCTCCTTTCTTGTCTTCAAGACGATACCATTGAGGAGCCAACGGACTATCAGGTGGAACTCTAGTCGGGACTTCATGAAGATCAAATCGGATGACTCCAACAAAATCATCCTTCATCAAATCCTTATCTTTCACCTGAACTTCCAAAACAGATGCCTGAAGACGCTCCCTAGAGAAGGCAAACACCTCGTTCCATTCAGGATCTTTCTTTTTCTCAAAATACTTGGTAACCCCTTTGTAATTCCCAACTTTTACCTCTACATATGGATCAAGGCTTCCTGTAAGATCCTTGGTGGGAAGTTCACGAGCTTTTACCACACGAACAAAAAGAAATAGCATCTGTTCAACAAGGTCATACGTGCTAACAGGTTTGTAATTAGAACGTATAACTCGACCACCAACAACTCTTCCACCACCAAGCATAGGACTTGTCTCTCTAAGCTTGTAATCAAATGCCTGCCCTGGAATCCCCGGATTTGCTTGCATAACTTTTGGAGCCTGTGATTCAGACTTAGCAGCTGAAACATGTTGAGTTACTTGAGGCTGAGGCTGAGATTTCGGAGCACTGTCCTGCTGCTTTGGAAGATGCCAGAAAGTATGCCTTGAATTTGACTTTGACTCCCTAGAAGATGATTTTGGGATTTCATTTCCAGCTTCTTGGCCTTCAGAGAACTGTAAGTGATCTGATTCCATAGCAGGAGGCGGCATGGACAGTCTGTTTGATGGATCATTTGTATAATAGACCTTCAAGCCGAGTTCTCCTTTAACACGAGAAAAAATATGTCGTTTTTCCAAGGGGAAGTAGAATTCAGAAGCCTCTGGGTAAGTAACAAAGGATGATCCACTGATACAAACTTTACCAAGGAAATCCTTAGCGTTGGTTGATTGATTGTAGCTATAGACAACTGCTTCAAGGGTAAGATTGGGAAGATTGTTTGGATTGGATATGTTGAAATAGAATACCTCATTCCAAACAGGGTTCAAGTCTTTCTCTTTCGTGCTAGTACGATATCTTTGATCATCAAACTTGAGCTCTACATAGGCACTCGATGATCCTTCACCGTCTTTAGGCACAAGATCATGCGCTGCTGTGACTTCTACCCCCAGTTTAATATTATTCATGTTGAAAAAGCAAGGACTGACCTTTTTTTCTGAAAATAAGACAGAGGAAATGCTTTAGTATCTGAGAGTCAATTAAACTGATGCAAGATAAAATACAAATACATGGAAGAATTGAAGAAATGATGAAGAAATCATACCGAAAAAATGGTATCAAATTATTCTATCTTCCTCCTCAGATGCTTGAAGTAGAGTTCAGGAACTAGTAATCCATAGATTGATAGAAGTTCAAATACTGTTGCATTGATATAGATATAATTACAGTTAAGCTTAGCCCTTGAAATCTGCTTCCTGAATACATATGAAATTGAGTGTTAATGTCCATCAATCCTCTTTGAGATAAAACTAAAATTAGATAGTTTCAACATCTTGCATCAGAAAGGACTATCGTTAACAGGAAGATTAATATATTGCTCGGATTCTTCATTTCTCCGCAAGTACCCTTATTAGATCCTCGACACTCTAACATCAGTATAGGCACTTAACAATTTAGTACAGACATCATAAATATAATCGAGTTTGACATTCAGACACATACTCCTGATTTCATGTGTAATGAAACAGTAATACTTTACCCCTTATCCATTATCTTACTTTTACCAAACCAAAATGGCAAAATTATGCACAAATAAGAATAATTTCAGCATCTTAATCTCTCAGGCAGGCAGCATGCACTACAACAACACTAAACCCTTTTACTTTTTCAAAGTAAAAATTACAGTAATATACTAATAACTGAACAATTGAAGTACATACTTGTATATAACATACTTCCGTTGTTCATTTTAGTTGCATATTAATTGCAATGTTATTATCATCTAATTTTTCTATATCTCTCCTCATCACATGAGTTCCTAAAAATTTGCGCCATCCCTCTAAATGAACTATTCCGTAAAATAGAACAGATGAAATATTTGTACTCCATAATATTTATCAAACAAGTCAACTCAAAATACTCATATCCCGAAAATAAACATATCAACTTCAAATTAGAACTCAAACAAAAAGTGGGAATCATTTTCTATGAATAACTGAATATACCACCAAATCATATAATCCAAAAAAAAAAAAAAAAAAAAAAAAAAAACTCTGTTTTCCTCATTACATGTAACCCAAAACCCCAAATTCTAAGCAATAAAAAAAAAATGAAACAAATAGAAATTAAGGAAATTAATAAAAGGAAGAATGATTGTTAATTTACCTGTAAATGACAAATTTTGATGGAAGTTGTAACTCAAAAAACTCCTTATTTCATGAAAAATGAATAAATAAATAATTTGAAGAAGTCGTTTGAGAGAGAAGAAGAAGAAGAAAAACTTAAAGAAGGTGATCACGTAATTTCATAGGAAGAAATGTATGTGTGTATTTTAAGGAGAGAGAAAAACCGAAGAACAGAGTCGTCGGAGACTTGTTCTTTATTGTTTATGTAAACGAGTATTGTTTCATTGTTTGTATGTGTAGGATACTAGAAACTAGAAAGGGAAAGATTGACAAGTCATTTAATTCATCTCCATTTATTATTTCATTTTTTTTTTTTTATTGAAACATCCATTTATTATTTAATTTGTAGTCGTTAGATACGTTACTCTTGTCAAACAACAGGAGGGAGTTATATTTTTTGGAAAAAATAATTTTTTTTCATCAAAATGAATAAAAATAAAAAAAATACAAGTACTTCGTATTTTTTTTTAGGCTAATGCTATATGCAGCTCTTAGGAAATTTATCAACAATTTACGAGGAAATCGATGTAATAAATGTTTATTTATGGTCTATTCTTTTCACTTTTAGCTTCTTATATGCATATCTTTTTCCAATTTTTTTAAAAGAAAATATATAAAGTCATTGGGTTGATTTGTAAGATGAAATATTAAGATTGTTTTCACCTATTCTATATAAAAAATTTATGGTTAATGAAATTAATTTCAGAATCCAATTACTCATAGTAAAAAAAAAATAAATAGTGATTTAATGTGACATTTGGAAATAAAGACTTATTTTAGTTACTTAAAAACAAATCATAGCTAAATTAAGATTATAGTAATATAAGTGAGCTACTAGTCAATTATGATGATGAATGCATGCCTTCATGTTGAGCGTTGATTTATTTAACAAAACTAGCTAATTAAGCAATGCAACTTCATTTTTCTTGAAAATGAAGTTTGTCCATACTCAATTCAATTTATATTTATTGTTGTTAAATGTAAGAAGTTGGGTGACTAATGTTCTTAATTATAATTCAATATACGACGTCGTTGTCATCCTATGGTGACTAGTTTATTTTCTTTTTATCTAATTGTTGTTAGTTATAATAAATTATTTGGATTTCTATGAAGAACTTGATTTGCAAGTTGATATGGAAACATCATGCTCTTGCACCATGTCATCACATGGGGCCCATGAGGGTAATCCAAATAGATTAACAAAACCATGCATCTACCTAAACCAAATATTTTACATGATTATCATACATTGACCATTACATTAAATAAGTGTCTAACAAATCAAAATATTTTAATGCCTTATCTTATATGTATGCATTTGATTAAGCAAAGAACAGAAAGATGTAAACCGACAAAATTTGGAGTAATTTCGTACCATTTACAATATCATATAAATGATATAATATAAGAGATGAGTACGCTATAATTTTATCAAGAAAGTTATTGGGTGATTACACGTTGAAATAAATTGTAATACTACGTATATTAAAGAGGTTGTGGATTTAAATATTACTGTGTGTTCTGTTTCTTACATTTGCAAACATTATTTAAAATTAAATACATGATAAAGTAAGAATTATATCAAGTCATTTAGTAGCATGTAATGATAGGACATTAAGTCCATATGGAAGTACTAAAACGTGCAAGAAAGGATTTGCCACATATATAAGAAGTCAAGAGTATAGGTGCCGCTACATGGTAAGCCATTAAATCTAGCTAACACCTTTTAATTATTTTCATAATAAACACTTTTAATATTTCGTATAAAACTTTTTTTGTCCCTAACCTATTGACTAGAAGGTACATATGATTTAAAGCTCATCTTGTTAACAAATTTACTCAAATGATTAACTTTACTAATAACGAATAAGACTTTCACTTTTTATTCAATGTCACAATGTAATCTTTCTTTAGACCTCTTAGTCTCTTACTCGACCTACAGTTGTTTCAGGGAAATATGAAAAATTAAACATAGCTAAAAAAAATTGAAAACGATAATAATTTTTAAGACAGAATAAAAATATTTCAATGTATTTCAATTCCCTTTTCAATATTGTAGCTTATTACTTTATCCGTAAAAATTAAATAACTCGAGTCAGATTAGCCTGTGACCGTGTATGAAGTTTTGAACCAATAAAATGCCTACTCCGTGATATGATCAAGAGAGGTTATGGGCCATTGAGACACGGATTATTGACTGAAGGTCTGAAGTTGGACCCGGTAACGTAGCGTGTTCGGGGGAAAGAAACAAGTATCTTCCTCGAAAGTTGAAAGTAGAAACCCATTGGACCTTTTGTATACGTGACTGCTAAATGCTAATGTTGGGGTCATTTTGTCAACAGGTCTTCTTATTGACTTTTAAATGTCCAACCTTAATTTTTACCTCTTTTTTTTTTGTTTTTTTTTTTGGATTTAGGTTATACGTAATGAATACGTAGTATTTTATTAGCTTGGCTTGACAGTTTTTAAACACATACCATTAATATTTAATCATTAATATTTTACAAAAATATAAATTACAAATTATGAAAAAGAATGATAATTTAAAATATCAATTAATGAACCTAACGAAATTACACATACCATTTGGTTTGGAGAGTGATATAGGTTTGGAATCAGGAATGGGGTTACAATTGGTCTCGGGTTGAAACTTAATACTTAATACCATGTGTTTGGTTTAATTTTTGTATGAAATCTCTCACTATTCCCTCCTATTATTTGATACCTAAGGGAATGGAATGGGCCAAACCCACCTCCCCCCCAAGGTTTCCAAACCCCATACTTCATGGGTTTTAGACATTCTAAACTCATACCTTATTTATATATTCCGCGAACCAAATGCCCATTTATCCTAGATTCGTAGGTCTTGTGTTTCTTATTTGTAAAATTCTATGGAGTAGTATTTTAAAGTGTATGTATTGAAATAAATACTTTAAAGGAGTATATTTTAAGAAAACAAAATAGGCACCAATAAAAGAAAATGAATTTGGGCAACTAACAAGTAGTGAAGTAGATCTAGCAAATCAGGCCCAACCTATATTCAAACACAAATTAACTCGTAATATCTGAATATCTCCAAAACCAAACATAATTTAAAACTTTAAATTCATTTGATTTTCATAATCAAATGATCCAATTACCACCTTTACTAAAAAAAACCAAATGAGATTTTATTCCAAAATTACTTGAAAATAGGAATCATTCCTCCTCAACCTTATAGAGTGATTAATATCTATCTTTCTCCCATATAGGACAACACAAAAATGAATAACACGGTTTCGAGTCTCAACACGTTACAATAACAACAAACATTTTCTCTCACACTCCTAGGATGGAGAAATAAGCAAAGGTCAAAGAGAGGATTCTTTTAAAAAATTTGAACCACCTTTTGTGTATATAAAAAAATTAGACGGCTAAATTATTAAGTAATTACGAAGCAAGTAGAGGGAATAAATGGACAGAAAATCGGTTTTAATTTTTCATTAAACCAATAAAGAATCAAACGTGGGAAGCATAATTCTAATACTTACTAGTTACTACATACCCATATCTTGAGACAGAGAATAACAAAGAAGATTATATTAATATTCCCCCATCACCTCTTTATTAATCTAATTAATTTCTTACACCCTTAAAAATCTCTCATCCTTCAAAACCTCTTCGTTTAATTTGATTGTAATTCTCTGAAACAACAAATAGAGCTTCTTTTGATCATTGATTTTTTCTCATATTCATCCAAATTCTGTTCGTCTCCATTGATACATTTTGTTGGGAGACTGCTGCTCGTCGCTAAGTTTTCAACATGGTAATTGCTCTTTACTCTTTAAAATGAAATTGTTCTCTTTTTGTTTCATGCTCGTTATGAGATTTGAATTTTGCCAAGTGACGGATTTAGAATTTTTGTCAAATAAATAATTTTGCATATATAAAGAGTTGTTTTTGTTTCCGAATCTGGTTATGATAAGGCTGAATGAAAATTATATACAGGGTACATAAACCTACCATATTACATAGCTAGCTAACTCATAGATATGCCGATATGTTGCAAAAATTTGTACGAATTTATCTCTCAATATTAAAAAGAACGAACATTGTTCATCATATACACTATTTTAGGATGTTCAGATTATAACGTTCACTTTCCAAACAAGAACAATTGAGCTAATAACAACCTTGTTCATCATCAGTAATATTTATATGATTAAATGATGAATTATTTGTAATTTGCAATAATAGGCGAACGCAAAGTCAGGAATGGCGGTAGATGATGAATGCAAATTGAAGTTTTTGGAGCTGAAAGCAAAGAGAAACCATCGGTTTATAGTGTTTAAGATAGAGGAGAAGATGCAACAAATTATGGTCGAGAAGATAGGAACACCAAACGAAACTTATGAAGATTTCACCAATTCATTGCCTGACAATGAGTGCCGTTATGCTGTTTATGATTATGATTTCACTACAATTGAAAATTGTCAAAAGAGCAAGATCTTCTTCATTGCATGGTATACATTTTCATTCACATTCTTTACATGCTTATGCTCGATAATTATCAGACATCAGTATTATAATTTCGAGCACTCTTAACCATGTCTCGAGATAAAAGTTACGTGACTAACAACAGTTAGGTAACTAATAGCAGGCAAATGAACATATTGTAGTTAGATTCAAGTAAAGCACAACTGTAACCACACGTGAACGGAAATTGACAGCCTTTTTTCCTCACCATTTCACAATCTAGTGTACTAATGAATGCAGGTCACCAGACACATCAAGAGTGAGAAGTAAGATGTTGTATGCAAGCTCAAAGGACACATTCAAGAGAGAGTTGGATGGCTTTCAGGTTGAATTACAAGCTACAGATCCAAGCGAGATGAGTTTTGACATAATTAAAGGGAGAGTTAACTAATTGAGATGCAATTAATTGTGAATTATGCTTACTGCAATTTTTTTCATTACAAATTCTTTATTCGATTGCTCGTGTAGATGTCACTGCTTCAATGTTTAAACATACAGAGGAGATTGAAAGACTACAAAGCAACAGTTCAGTTTCTCTCCAATGTTTTATTTATTTTTATTTATATGAGGATTTTAACAATTTCAACGTTATTATTGTATTTGTACTTTTGCTGTGTTCATTAACCATAGTTCTGTTTTTTGGTATATAAATTCAATTTTCAATTTCAATAATGTATTTTTTCAGTATAGGTTAACCCGCTAATGCTTTAGACAATTTTTCTTCATCTCGTTCAATAGGATAAGAATAACAAATAATGTCTGAAGTAGGAATTTTACAAATTACCAAACTAACAATACATATATAATGCAGGAAAATTAATTTGACTTTCAAAAAAAAAAAAATGGTCACAAATCAATTCTCCATAACAAATATACATCCAATAAACAAGTTCTGAAGTCCATGAGACCAAGAGTCTAGTTTTTCCAGTTGTATACAAATGTGTTTCAATCAAAAATAATTCTATTGCTATATCCCTAAGTGCATTCCTTTTGTTTAAGGTCTAACAAGGGGTAAAAAGACAAGGTACTTCCCGCTAACCATCACGTACACTAGGGAAGTACTCGTACAAGAATTGGAACATATTTTTATCTCCACTAATCTGGCTACTAGCCTAATTGAGCCTCAAACAAGGAAAAGATCTCCCAACAATCAATGTTGTATTCCTAGGCTCATACTCAAGAACTTTGGTTAAGGTAGAACAACTCCCTCACCCTCTTACCATTCGTACCAAGCATTTGGTTCCCACATCTTAACTTGCTTCTTGATCTTGGCATTTTGATCCCGAATGGATTGAATTGTAAGTGGATCATAAGGTGGGGGAAGTTGGCATGGGCCTCGTTCTGAAGGCCCATTTACCATGGTCTCAATCTTATATGTTGTTTCCAACCCCATTGGGCTGCAGGCAAATCTCTCTGAGCAAAGTTCAACTGCTCCCTCAGGCACAGTGGGTTTAAACTTAAGCAGCTTTGCATATTCATATAACACATGAAACATGTAATCATACACATGTTCCATCTTTATCTGATCAAATATGAACTTGCTCCCCGCATTTCCAATCTCTTGGGCCTGTTTTTACATTCATTAACATGAATAGGGTGATAGCTAATTACTATGAAACAGAGGTAACCAAATTTAATGGTCAAGTTTCAGCTTCTACATCATGAGGAATACCTTATAATGATAAAACAGAGGTAAAATCAGAAAATTACCTTGTCAGTGTTGTTGTTGCCCCATTCAACAGCAAATTTGATGGACTTGCATATGTGCTTATCACTTACAGGCCAATAGTGCTTCATTGGAATTAAGCTTCTTGTGAAGAAATCATAGTATATAGGGTTTATAAGAAGGCTTGTGGAGTTACAAGCCAGAATATATTTCTCACTCACTGACCATGCATTTCCCTCCATATATATCTTGAACCTGCGCGCAGATAATTTTTCACCCAAAACAAAAGTATATTAACTAGCATCCATATTCTGATGTAGAAGGGAGCAAGGAAAGAAAAAAAGGATAAAAAAAAATTCACCTGTGAACACATTGTTCCGACAAATCTGAGTCCTTGAACCCTTCTCTCCATTCCTTGATCCAATCCTGCAATTAGTCTTGCAGCTTTTGTCATTATTTAACAAGGAGAGGTGGCCAGTGGCCAAGTCCAACAACAGACAGGCTCGACTTTATGGGGGCCATGTTGCTTGAATGAAATTAATGGAAGATGAATTACCTGGTCAATGATCTGAGCATTCCAGTCTTTTATAGAATTGCATTTCCCAAGCTTAGGTCTTGGACCATTATGTAAGTTCCCTTTCCAAAATGCATAGGGCTCCCTAGATGTCCAGCTCTTAATCGCATTACCTTCTTGTAAATCCTTCTCCAAAGGCACCCATGGCTTTACATTGACTTCTGGCCTGAAAATTTACAAAAATTAACTCAGTTTCTGCTCAACCATATTGCATCACATGATTGCAAAGTGCAAACTAATGAGTGATGATAAATGCTTGTTATGGATGTAACAACATTAAGCATTATCTAGAATCAAGATCATAAAAAGTGGTTCAACTGATGATTACCAGCCCCAAAATGACCAATCAGGGAAGACAATATCGAAAGTTGAGTCATCTCCACAGTAGTGAAACTGTGGAGGAGGCTGAGGATAAGCAAAGGCGGCCCTCCATCCCCTATAGTATTTCCTCTTGATAGATGGTTTGTCATGGCATTGGAACATTAAATCAAGATCAGGGAGTCTCCCAGGGTACAACTTCAGGAGCTGCAATATACCCCACAATGTAAAGTCGTCCCTTGTTTGGTAAGCCTTTGCATATTGCTTAACATATGCTGTTCCATTCACAATAACCAACCTAAAATGAGCATCCTTTTTCAAACTCTCCACCATCTCTCTTGTGATCCCTTGGCTCTTCCATGTCTTCAAGTCCTCGTGTATCCATCGAAAGTACTCAGGGCATGTTTGGTTCAATGTGAAATTGTTGCTATTGAACGTATTAGGTGAGTAATTTGCAGGGCATGTTATGCTCATGTTGCTTGAAGTACAGTTGAGGAGATACTCATCTCTCTTTGGGTATTCGTGATTGTTGTTCTTGGAGAACATTATTGAGTAGTTGAATAGCACTGAGTTGCCTGCTGAAGCTGACTGGGGAAAATACTTCCCAAAAAAAAAGCACCTCAATACACTTGTTTGATCAGCACATCAAGCTAGCTTAGTTCAGTATAAATGTAATATCCTATAGATGAATCATAAATGTGGATCCGATTTGTAAACTTATTGCAAATGAATTATTTAAAATGAAAGGTTATAGATTCGGATTGCTTCCTACTTTCAAACTGAAGATTTCTAGTACTCGGGTATGATGAGTGAAACACAATTCCATCTAATATCTAGTGAAGAGGTTTATTTCTCTCTGTTTTGTAATGTGGGAAATATAAAGGGTGCCTGATTCTAAGTATGGTGCCTTGGTGGTAGTCTGGTAGGCTGTACCCAAACAGGTGCACACGGGCCCCAGGTGGGCCGTGACTGAGCCACGTTTCGCAAAGCCCTGCACGACGTATTGGGTAGGCCATTGGCTAGCAAGATCAATTAACAGTTATAGGGACAAAGTTTAAACTTATGGAGTAAAGGTGGTCCATGGGCCTAGCCCTTAGGATGGTCAACACAAAATCCTTGTCTCAGATTATGATACAATTTGGTCCATAATTACATTTTAGGAAATTACATAAGAACAACCACATCTAGTGTCTCACGTATAAACATAGAATTTTCTGATAAACCAATTGACAATAACAAAGTACTCAACTTATAGGACTCTGAAAAAATATCCAAATATTCAATCACAAATTTGATGGTCTGAATACATAATTCATATGTTACACACAAGTGACACAATGTTCAACTGTCCATTCTATACACTTATCCACCGCACTCGAGTTGAAATGATTGACATGAGCCGTAAATACAATGTTCAAGTGTTAATACATGTTTCTATACAATTTATCCACCCACACTCGAGTTAAAAGGACTAATATGAGCCACAAAATACAATGCTCAATAGCCCATACATGTTTCTATACATTTATCCACACACAAACTCGTAATATTTTTGCTTAGAAATTGTTGATCGTATTTAGCAATTCGCATATTTATAGGTCTTAAAAAATACTCGTATGACATCATATACGGGATAAGGAGTACTCGTATTTGTTTCGTATGGTACAATTAATCCTGGGCACCGTGCCGTGCCGGAGCGCCGCGGGCCGTGCCTGGCGGGCCACGGGCTGGTTCGTGTCGTGCCGGTCGTGCCGGCGGGCCAGGATTTCGTGCCGTGCCGTGCCGGCCATTTTCACAGGTCAGCCCACGGCACGGCACGGCCCTCGTGCCTGGAGGGCTCGTGTCGTGCCGGCCACGTGCCGGCCTGCGGGCTGGCCTGCGCGGGCTGGTGCAGTTTTCATTTTTTTTTTTTTTTTTTTTTTTTTTTTTAATGACAACATTATAAATTAATAAGTTTATAATGTATATAAGTTATAAAATTAGAATTATAAGTTTTATAAGGTAACTTATAAGTTTATAACTTATAAGTTATAAGTTATTAAGTTATGAATTTTATAATTATAAGTTGAATATTTATGTTTTATAATTTGTATATTCAATATTTATATTTATATATTTACTTTATACTATTACTTTAACAATAATAATAATAATTAATAACAACAATTTTAACAATAAAAATATCAATAATAATAATTAATAACAACAACTATAACAATAACAATAACAACAAAAATAAATAATAACAACAATTGTAACAATAATAATAATTAATAACAACAATTATAACAACAACAATAACAATTTAACAACAATAATAATTAAACAAGATTATTCTAATAATAACAATAAAACAATAATAAATTTAAGATTAGTTTAGATCTGACAACCGTACTTCAACGCTCCACTAATTACGATTACGAACTTTTTAATTTTTTCCGATTTTAGGAAAATAATTAGAGAATTTAAGAGAATAATTAGAGAATTTAAGAAAATAAAGATTATTAGAGATTTAGAGAATATAAGAGATAAGAAGAAGAGATTGTGATTTTGTGATTTGGGAATGAAATGGAGGTGAGTATTTATAGAATTTTTGGCAAAAAACTAGCCGTTTTATAGCCGTTGGCCCGCGGGCCGTGCCTGCGGGCCAGCACGGCGGGCCATGCCCGTGCTCGTGCCGGGCCTGGGAATTCTCCACCGTGTCCGTGGCACGGCCCGTGGCACGGAAGTTGAACTTCGTGCCGTGCTGTGCTTGACTTCGGGCCGTGCCGGGCGGCACGCGGGCCAACCCGGCCCGTGCCCAGGTTTATTCGTACAATTGTACAAATAGCATCAAAGTCACGTGGCCAACGATTCCCACATTTTCAAAGGACCAATTATGACCGGAACATGTGCAACTCCTACAGCTACAATAATCAGTCTAGACGCCTCTTCGATTTTAGGAAAGTTAATACTCTGGTACAATTTTGTTGCTTATTTGCTTACTAACGGGATTGAGTAGATTTTATCGACAAATTCAAAAGTAAATTATACTGTTGTTTTACTTAAAATTTTAAAATCTATTTGAATTAAGCTTTGGACTACAATTTAATTGACTTTATAGAACCTTAAATTCAAACATTCACCAAACATAAAATTAAAGCTTCAAGATTAATCAACAGCAAGATTAAATCATCAAAGTTAAAGCAAAATATAAAAA